CGAGAGAGTCTGAGAGTGAAGGTGGTTTTGCCTCGGTGCAGAACAGCAGACTCAGCAAACATCCCTGAACCATTTTTTGTTATGCTATACGGCTATACCATATAATCTAACATATGATATTCCTACATCCCATGGTTCTTTTGCCGAGGCTTGGCTTGGGAAAAGCAGCCGAAGCGCAGCCCGGGCCTCGATCCTCCGTAGCTTTAGATGTTGGAAAGGTTTCTCCGGTCTCTTGGTCGGAAACTCTACTCTACCAATTTCAATAGCTCCCGTGTTTTGCAGGACAGTTACAAACTGACATACGCATGTTTAAAGGCATATGTATATGTAGGTATGTATGTATGTATGTATGTATGTATGCATGTATGTATGTATGTATGTATGTATGTATGATACACTTCTAGATATATTTACATACATACTTTGTTTTGCTTCCGTGTTTCCCCCACATGACCGCTGCGTGGGACAAGCGCAGTCCGTCTTGTATCTGAGCTGGTAACATGAGACGACTTGGGCCTAGGAGCACGGCGGTAGTGTCTCGTGTACTGGGTCGGAGCGGTCGGAGCTCACAGGAAAGGTATTTGCTGTGGCTTCGAAACGGTCGTACGGTGTGGAGGAAAGGAGCACCGGCCGGGGAGACAACAGTACACATGTCGGACAAGAGTACAATGCGGGGGTGTTGAACCTTTCATGCTACTTGCTCTGAGGCGAATTATTAGTGCTGGCTGCTTGCTGGCTTTAGACTTCCAGGATTGATATGAGATCCCATTTGGAGGTAAAAGTGAAACTTGGATGCAGGAATGAACGAATGAAGGAACAAACGGGTATAAGCTGGAACCAACGAGTATACATAGAATGTTTAATGGAGTAAGTACGTATGTCAGTAAGTAAACAATGAAAGGATACATACATACAACGACAGAGAAAAGGTACATAACTAACGAAGGCACAAACGAACCAGCTAGCTAGCTAAACAGGCTAATACACGTTGTTTCGCGACGACCATGTCCCATACAGCCTGCTGGGTCGTCCGCATGATCAGGTCCGTCTGTGCACATTACTGGAAGAGTCGCAAGTCCAACAGCACATGGTGCCGTCTCTCCCTTCTCGTTACTGAAAGCAGCGCTACACTACTTTTGTTGATTGCTCAGGGTCCAAATTCATCCCCCGCCAGCCGAAACCCAGAACAGTCCCTGAAGCCTGGGTTCTGACTCGTTTTTGGTCCCCAAAACGTGGCTCCAATGGCCTATTGAGAGCAGATGCCGCTCGGCGCTTGATTTCAGCTACCCCAGGGCGAGCTACATCCAAGCCGTTCGGAGCGACCCCGTCACCGAGGGCTACCTGGCCCCTTGGACCATCACAACACATGCAGTTTTCAAGAGGCCTTTGGGTTCAGAGCGAACTGAGCCCTGAGCAGGGCTTTGACTTCGAGATGTTTGTGTCCTAAAGCGGTCCTGTCTGAGCTGTAGTAGGCTTTCAGACTTCAGGTCCGGCTCGCGGGATACCCCAGGAGAAGCCAAGAGACTCCTGAAGCGAAGCTCGCATGGGCCGGTTGCCCACAACACGAAGCTGCGAGGACCCAAACCTTCCGAACCCATGGGCCCCAACGAGCTTGCGCGCGGGGTCCTGGCCCAAACAAACTTGGAGGCAAACGCCTGCAACATTCAACAAGTAGCCCCGCTGGAGCAGGCCGGCCTCAGCAAAGCCACTGAGTCACTAATGCAAGGACAGGGTTCGGGTGGTGGGAAGGCTTGGCTGTGCTTAGACGTGAAAGTTGACAAGAAGATTCCCAAAAGGGGTTCCATCTTGTTTCGTGTTGATTCGCTTCGAATGGAGCTTTACTCATGAATCCGAAAATGGTTGGATGATCGTTTTGCCGTGGATGGATGATGATCAGAGTTTGCCAGGGGCCGCCAGAATCCACCAGTGCATGTTCTGCGAGAGGAAGTTTCGGTAACGACAGACCCTTTGCGAAGTTTGTCTTCAGCGTCATTGCTGCGTGGCAGCGGTATCTTGAATCCAAGTTCGTAGAGCTGTTGCAACCTCTTGCTTGAATGGAGGAAAATCGCCTTCCGATCGCCAAAGCGAAGCCGAGCTCAAGAAGTCCAAAGGCCTCTCAGTCTGACGCTGATCGTCACGTTCTACGCATTTGTCTTGGAGCGCGGTCGCGCCTTTCTTATGGCTGGTTGCCGGCCGGGTTCTTTCCTATGGCAAAGACGCAGATGTGAGGTAACTGCACCAGAACTTGTTTGACGTGTGTGTGTGTGTGTTCGCTGCAAGTGCCGAGCTCGGCAACCGATTTTCGATTTCATCCCGTTTCGGCTGATGTTGTGAAGCATTGGAGCAATTTAACAGCCACAGCGACGGCACCGATAGCAGCCATAATGCCGACGAAGAAACGTTTGGCTGGAATTTGTGAATCCGACTACGGCTACGAGTAAGCACTGGCGGCCCAAGCCACGCAACATGGCATGTACCTGCTATCGCCGGAGGTTTAATATTACATTCATACTAATTTTAGTGTAATAATAATAATAAAGTTTAATAATGACAATAATAGTAACAATAATAACAGAATAAGAATAATACCAATAATAATAATATTAATAATAATAATAATACTAGTTCATTTTAATAATGACGATAATAGCAATGATTTTAATCAATTGTAATAATGTCATTTTAATAATAGTTAATAATACACCCTAAACCCTAAATAAGAATGGGCCCTATGAGCCCTATGAACCCTGAACCCCTAAGCCTGCAGCGTCGTAGCAACTGAGCATGCCCATGTCAAATCTGCTTGCATAGAAGCCATGAAGCTCGGGGTGATTTTTCTGCTCCTTTGGCATGCAGCCGAAGCGCAGGACGCACCGTGCCTGCAATGGAGCAGCATTCTGCTCGTTTTTGAGAACGATTTGTCAACTTTGTTCGTGCTGTTTCTCTCATGTCAACACGGTTGGTATTATTTCCATTGCTCCGATCGTCTTGCTCTGTCTCCCTTGAGCAAAAGCTCAGAGTGGCCATGCATACAGGCCCGAGGCACTGTTCGAAGCCTGAAGGAGTCCTGGAGGTTCAAATCCCTCGTGATATCTGAATTAGCTGCAGTTTCTGGTGTGACATTGCTGGATGCTTCGCCAGGGGTTGACCTTTTGCACAGAACTCTGCGAGACAGACACGGAAGATGGACTATGCCGTGTCCCCATATATATGTATATATGTATGTATGTATGTATGTATGTATGTGTAGATGTCCAGGTTTATGAGTATGTGTACTGGGGTAGGTGTATGTGGAATGTCATGGCATGTGCATATTCGTCTGCAGCACACTGCCGCTCCTACAGCTAACCCCCTTGTCGTAGTACCTCAGCGGCCGACATTGCAGGCATTCGATCGAGCAGGAGCTCCAGAATGTCCCTGCATAACGAACAGCTCGGCCAGCTACGAGCAGCTTCAAACTGTCCTGGTGGCAGCTTAACTAATCAGTTACTGAGGCATCAGACGTATGGGACGATCGTTTTGTGGACCTCGTTGTGACACTCATTCCCGCCTAGCTATATCTCGCACACTCTGAACTTTGGTGGCACTTGCCAGACATCGCTCACGCAGTGCTTAACTAGGACCGCACCCATTTTTCGTTGGCTCTCGTCTCATGTAGGCGCAGGAGCTTGAGGCTTTAAGGAGTGGGCTTGAGCATCTCTTTATGTTTTTGCGCCGTGCATAGTGTCTAACTTTTCGGAGACAGAATCAGTATCTGGCTCCATCAACCCTGTCACACATGCGGGCATGCAGAGTCTTGCCGGAATTCATACAGTAAACAGCTGAGCCCAGGGCTCGTTCCAAGTTCTTCCTCAGACCAGCCAAGCCTACGTTCTAGATCAGGGCCATGGCTGTTTCGAGGTACTCTGATCCGTCCAGCTACACAGGCAACAGTCGAACGCGAGTGCCAAAAAACAACAAAACAAAAAACATCCACTGAACCCCGGAAGTCAGACGTCTTGGAAGTGCCAGTCCGATATCCTGCTGGCCTCGATGCAAATAGAGATATATGCAAACGAAAGATGAGGGCAAGCGTGCGTGACAACACCGAGCGGCATGACGCGACCGCGTGGGCACAACGCAGGCCATAATGATTCATCTGAAGCCGCCGTTTAGGGTTTAGGGGTTTAGGGCTTGACGAGGCAAGCCTGCTGCAAAAAGGGTCTAGGGTTCTCACAACACGACCCAGGCAGGCGGCTTTCCGCCGGACTACGGTGCCAATGGGTGCAGAGCATACGCTGCAGGCTCTTCTCTGGACGGCTGTAGCGGGGAGGATGCTCCGGCGCATTGCGCGAACCCATGGTGACCTTCGTCTGAAAGTTGCGCAGAGATCGGACTCTTGTTTAGGGCATCTGTTCCGACCACACAATGTTCACATTCCTCAGCAAACATGAGATCCGGAAGTCCTCAAAGCCTAGTGTGTCAAACGTGACCAAGCCCGAGTGGCCTTGGGTGTATGTAGCTATAGGAGCCTTGGGTGATTTTTGCTTTCGGCACTTATATAGCCAGGATCGCGAGGGCCATAAGTTTACGATTGCCCATGCACGTCAACCTCCGCAGCTGAGGCTATGTGGACATGTCAGTGTGCCTCATCATGGCCCCTTTGCAAGCTTTCTTCCTTGGTTAGACTTGGCCAAAATTGGCCAATTTCTTTTTGGGCACGGTAAGATTTACTGCTAATAGGGCAACCGGTGCCCAAGGTGCCCTGTGAACGAGGACCTCTGTCATGCAGCAGGAGCAGCATTGGGAAGTGACATCTCTCCATACTGCCGAACTCGGCCGAGAGACTACACCATTCTGTTGAACATGTCGGTATACTACAGCTACGACGCCCGGGTTGCAAGTAAGGATCGAGTGCTCGAGCACGGTTTAGGTTGACTGTCTGATTGTGGGGCAAAAGCTGCAACAGACATCAGAAGTTAGACTGGGTTGACATTGCGAACCAGGCTGGGTGACAAGAGATGTGGGGAGGCAAAACCAGCTTGCAAAGCTATTGCGGCACCACTCGTCACGGCTTTCATGTTCGAAGTGTGCATGTGTTGCACGGGTTGTACACCTCCAAGGAGACGTGTGGTTCTGTCAACCTCTACGACCCGACGAGGCATTCCAAGGAGCTGGGCGGAAACATCATCCGCGCCGTTGTCGCTCCCTATCCGCCTTGGGTGATCCAGCGCAACTCATCCACTGGCATCTTTGGCTTGACGGGATTTGACTGGAGATCAACTGTTTGGTGCTTTTTGGAGAGCGGTTTGGTTATGGTTAGCGGGGGTCTGTCGGACAGCGATCCCTTGCAGGCAACATGGAGTATGGCGGGCCGAGCTACGATTTCTTGCAAAGCGTTCTGAACTTGTTCGATCCCCCTGCGCAGCTGAATCTGCTCCCGGGCTGGGCCACGGAACAGTCTCGGCAGAGGTTCAGCAGCCACTTGCAACTTTTTGGTATTAGGTGTTGCTTTTTCGGCGGCTTGGAATTAAACTCGGAATCCTTAGAATCAGAAGCATGAACCTGGCGATATTTAGCTGCGCAGGCAGCTACACCGCATGCGTGCACGATGTCGCAGTTGGAAATTTCGATATTTGTATTGCAGACCTGTGGCTCACGCCGAATCGCCATAGATTGGCTTGGTTCCTGCCAACTATCCGGCCGCTTGGCTGCTTAGCATGTCCGCGCCTGTGAGAAGTTGGCATAGCGTGGTGGTTAGGGAATCCATCTTACCAAGGCAGGACCTCTTCTACTTGGTCGTGCCACGAAAGTTCGACGAGGTGACCTTGCTGTCTTATTTACAAAGGCCTTTCCTTCCCTTCACACCAGATGCTTGGCTGGGAGTCTTCGCCTTTCTTTGTGGCCTGTCGGCGGTGCTCTGGCTGGTCCGGCTTTGTGAGACGCCCGCCAAAGAGAGACAAGGCTGCCAGTGGAGCTTGCAGGACCGACAAGACGGCAGCTCAAGTCCCGCTTGGTTTGGCGCTCCTGACTAGGATGATTCAGCCAAACTGCAGAACGACACGTCGGGGCTCTATTGAAAGTCCAGTTGCTAGCCCTCGGTACTGTGCTCGCACCATTGCACAGGAATTGGGGAACTTCTTGTTCAACACTTGGCACGATTTCCTTCTTGGCCAGAGCAGTCACGAGGTCGAGAGAGGCCGATCAATTAACAACAAGGTATCTTCCTGAAGCCACCTTGAGACATCCTAGGCCTGTTCACTGACAAAGGTAGGTTCCAAGCGGCCGCGTCTCATATTCGGCACGCACCCTGATTGCAGGCCTAGCGCACAAGCTGTTCAGCCTCGCGTTTTCCTTCTTCATCCTTGTCACACTTGCCAGCTTCTGACCTGACCGGTTTAGGTTGTAGGGTTCGCGCGCTTCGACATGCTACTGGTAGGCGGGAGGCTGTACTTGCATGTAGATAGTTCACCGTGTAGGATTGGGGCATCCAGAGGACCAGCCTCTCTCTTTGTGCCTTTGGTAAGGCTACACTGCGAGCCTGGCATCTATGCTAGTAGTTCAGCGAGAAGCTTCTGGAGAGATCAACAGTGCCTCAGAGGAAAGTCCATTTCAGGTTTTGCCTGGCCAGTTTGCTGCACTTTTCCCGGAAATAGACCTGCCGTCTTGACTTGAGGAGCCTTGCCATCGCTACACCCCATCATTTATCTTTTGAGTTGCTGTATATCATGTTTGACTCCTGCTGCTACAGTACCCAAAAGCTCATGATTCAACCACCGAGGCATCGACGATGCCATCACAGCCGGCGTCCCAATCTGCGCACCCGCAGTTCTGACACCAACCTTCAGCACCTTGTTCGGGGCCGCCACCTTTGTTGACTGCGATGCCATCGCCGAATGCGCCCGTATTTTGCATTCGGGGAGATGTCGAGCCATGATCGTCTCGGAGGATATCATCACCAGCTTGCACGCGGGATTGATCCAGCAAGCCGACTGCGATGATGTGAACGCTGGAAGAGTCTCCGAAGAAGTGGGCCGATGCACGACCACTGAGACTAACTCTGGCAACGCACGAAACGATTGCGAGCTCCTGCGCGTGGGAGACCTTCTTTGGAGCGTGCCTCTGTCTTTCCCGATCAGCGAGAGGTTGGCTCACGGCATGTCGTGGGCCGTCACTCAAGCCATTACTGCCGGGCTGTTTGAACGGGCGAAAGACTCAGAACTCAACAAGGAAGCTTTTCCATTGTCGCAGTGCGCAGTCGTCGAAGATCGAAGCGAAGAAGACGGCCCCTTAGATGCTTTGCATCTTCTTTCTGTGTTTCTTCCGTGCCCCGTCGTACGAACCTTCTGGTTTGTTGGGGCCGATTAGATTGTGCTAGGTGTCCGAAAATGCAGCCTCTCGCATTCTGTATATCCATTGGTAGGCTGCGCATGTATTGTTCATATATTCTAACACAGACTGACCCGGGGAAATCTTGCAGGTAGTCGGGCAATGCTGAAGAGCTCGGAAATCATTGTATATCTCGTCCCTTGGGGTCTTGCCCAAAAAAGGGGGGGACTTTTTGACAGAAATCGATGTGCTATTTCCAGGTCTCACGCTGGCAGACCTCACTGGCACAATCGTCATCTCCATGTTCATGGTGGGCTTCGGATTGGTTTGCTTCACCGTCCAGGTGGGCAGTTTCGGGCCCCCATTAAGCTTTGGAGCAAGTAGGTGATCCGGATTTATGGCGCTCCCGAGCTCGCTTTCAATAAAAAGTGGCCCAGAGAAGAAGCCTCAACCACTGGCAGACATCATTATCATTATCATCGTCACCATCCCAACATCAATGAACATCGCAACCTGCAGCAGCATGCAGAAGCGCCACCAGCAGCAGCACCGGCATGACATGCATCATCAATGGCCTAGGGGAACCTCAGTTGCAGCTGCAGATTCAACACGCCCAAACCTTCTGAGCCATTCATCCTGGTCCTAGACCCTCCTCCATCGCAGCCAGCTGTCAGCCTCAACGTCCAGCAAAACTACACCACGAGTCGAGATTCCCACGTCGCTGCAGCCAACGATTTGTCAAAAGCATTGCAGGGGTGCAGCCGTCAAGGCGGTGCAAGAGGTGGTTTCTAGGCTCTTTCGAGCAGGTGCTGCGCCGTGATGGGCGGGAACTGCTGCAACGCAGCCGCACCTTCGGGCAGACAACAGCAGAGCCTGAGGTTTTGGAGACTTGGCGCTTGGAGGGCTGAGGGGTTTTGGGCTGGGTGTTTAGCGTAGGACTTGATGTGTGTCCCAGATCTGGGATTCAAGTCGCTGTGTCCGCGGGCAGGCCTCGCATCGTCATTGGTAAAACATGGTAAAAGTTCGCGGCTGGGAAGGCCGTCCGCAGGGGCACGAGGAATGTTAGTGGAGTGAAGCACTCTATAGTGGGATTTGTTATGCCCCTGTCCTGTATCACGTCATGTTGTCGGAGGTATTTTGAAGGCATCTCGAGTATTGACGTGGTTAGCATGTTTAACATGGCACGTCGCATCTCGCTTGCATCACCAGGCCAGCAGGCACGGATTGATGTGCAGTCTTTTTGACGGTCGCCGCCCGGGAGTTCCTTGTTGCTTCAGTGATCTGACATTGATGCCTCATACAGTACTTGTGCATCATGGCGGAACCTCACAGCATCTTAGATATTTTCTGAAAATAGTCTCAGCTGAGGAAGAGGTACGGACCCTAACAGGGCAGGAGAAGTGCTTGGAGACAGCGGTGACAGATGCTGCGACAAGCCCGGCAGTGTCCTGGGAGATGGGTTCGCAGGATGCAGACCAGGCCGACGATGTACTCTATCCAAAAATCCTACCTCACACACGCAGAGCGTTCATCTGCTTTCGTGTGCTTTATGGCCATAATTAGTTGGTGGGCTTGTTTAGCTTGCTTGGTTTCTCGCTCTCTCGTGACTTTGCATCTGTCGTTGTGCTGGGTCAGGAGCCGTCAGATCCAGCGCCGGATCCCGTACCAATCCAGGAGCCCCGCGAAAGCAGGGCACAAACATCTCCCCTGGCAGAGGAATGGCAGCATCGCCAGCGCATATAGTGTCTGGGTGTGGCTTGAAGGGAGGAATAGCGAATTAACCTTGGGTCAGACAGCAGTTTGCAGCAAGTGGGTAAACAAGCCCAAGGAAAGATTCCTCCCCACAGTTTCTTCAATGCTGCTTCATATCGCTCTGCACGCTGCCGGAGAAACATCTCGGCACCGACAAAATGTCGTGCCCATGTTCACGCTGTCGCCGCCCTGAAGGGAAGCGTCAGATTGAGAGACAGAATTATGCTCCGTCTTCACGACAAATCCTGCCTCGGATTCCACCACCGACGAGCCCCCCATGAACTCATGGCCAAACGCAACCACCCCCAGGTTTTCATTCCGGGCATTCAGTCCTGCTCCATGCATTCGGTGCAGGATGCCATGGCTCTTGAGGTGGTTTCCAGAAATCATCATTAGTCATGGTGGTTGTCTTCTTCCTCTCCACTCGTCTCTCCCCAGCCTCCAAATAAATCCAAGTTCTGACAACTATAGTTATAGGCTGTAGCACTATATAGCAGTAGATCCAGGCTTGCAAAGAGATCGAAATGGACTCGCCCAAGTGCCCCGGGCGAGATCGGGCAGGCAATGAGGCGCTGAAGGCGGGGCAGCTACCCCTCGCGATCGCCTGCTACACCATGGCCATCTCAGCCCCTCTGCTCGGAAATTTGGGGGAGTTCCCTCTGGGAGCTATAGGAATTGCAGTGGCAACAGATTTGAGTGGTCGAGACGTCATTGTAGAGCTCATGAGCTTCTTATCGAATGCTTATACATACTGCGTATCCTGTGTTTGGCTCATGGTTGTATTGATTCGGATGGCTGGTAGTTGGATAGAGCTGCCTGAGACCTGTTGTCGCTATGCCTTGCTGGTCAGAGAGTCGAAACCCGAAACTCTGCAGCCTGCTCCTTCCTGCGGCACCCCTCTCCTCTCCGGTACATTTCTGCCTCATGCCGTCGGACTCTAGGGCTCTTTGTTGCAGAGCTGCACGCTGAAGGTGGGATTTGATATGGCTTCTTTCATGTAATGGTGGGAATCCGTCAGTGTGTTCGTGCCGCCCTTCCAGGAGTAAGGCCCTTAGTGCGAAAAGAAGACGGAGCCGATCGTAAGCGGACCGAGGCGATTCGGCCGCTTGCGGAGACTGCTGCCAATCTCAAGCAGAATGTGTGAAGCTCAGCTGTCAAGGTGGCTCTTGTTGACTCTTATCAGTCACAAAGGCGACGTTAGCATTAGTTGCAGATGACAGCACTACGAAGCCATACTCATGGTGTTGTATCAGTATGTATCAGCAGGGTTACTAATACTACATGGGTGCAGAAGGTTTCATGCTAACACGACGACGAGAAATGATAGCTCCACGGGGAAAGGCCGTCGAGCTACCCTGCGGTGCAGGGGCAGTGACAGGCCCCGGGGGGCCATCGATCTACCGGTCAGAGCTCCGAAATACCTCCATCCGTGCTGCATCCAGGACTGAACTGGAAGCAGCAGAACGGGACCCATGCTCCCGGCCTGCTGTACGTCACGGCTTGTTCCACTCGATGGACAATCTATCGACCCTCCACATCCCTCCACTGAAAAGCGCTGTTTTGTGCCGGGCCCAGGCCGCAGTTTACTCCTCCAACCGGTCGGCAGCCTTCGCGAAATTAAAGTGCCAGTCCCAGTGACATTTGAGAGCACCTTTCGGCAATCTTCGTTAGAGTGTGCTTGAATTGGAAAAAAGACGACTGGAATCAACACCCCGCCAACGACGATTCCAATTCTACTGCTTCCGTTGGCTGGCTATCTGTGTCTATGGGGTGCTTCGGAAAAGTTTGGAAATGCCGTTTCTGGTTACTGGCACCTGTGATTTTGAACGGGAAAGTGGCTCCGACGTTAGGGTAGAAACGCATCTTATGGTGTGGTTGTGCAACTTGGTTTCTCAGAGTCTGAATCAGGCAGTGGTACTTCTCGCTGGGTGACGCTGAAGAAGCTGCTCGACTCAGTGGCAACCTCAGCCATAGTGTGGGAGCTTTGGTTTCGGCTCGGGCGTGCTTCGGGTGTCCAAGATCATACCAGAGGAGCAGTGACTTCCCAACTCGGCAGCACAGCCTGACAGCCTGTGCAGCTGACTTGTAAGATCTGGCCGTCTACGATCATGGACCTTGCGCATTGCAAGCTACCATAAGCCACCTCAAAGCAATTTTCCCGCAGGTCCTCAGTGGTACAAGGCACACCTGCGGATTGCCACGGCGTACCTTGGGCAGGGACATGCCTGAAGCTCTGTTGAAACGAAGGGTGAGAGCGTTTGCATTGATGTTGGTTTGTATGTTCAGTCCGTCCTCAGTGGTGCACGCAGCCGCAGGCCCTGAAATCACATGAACTCACCTTTGCACCGCTCCTTTCCATCAGAACTCAAAGCATTGCGACTGGATAGTCCATGCTTGCAAGTGTACGTCCTCGAAATCACCAATATATACTCTCTCTTCTTCTGGGCACGGCACCCCCATCATGACGTAGTGTTGCGCTCTATGACATGAGTTTGCACATCACATTGTCCCAGGCTCCCACAGCGCCTTCCCCCGCCCTTCCCCGGCAGTTCTCTGTGGCATCCGCACCACCGTCAAAAAGCGTTGACTGTCACAGGGGTCCTGTATGAGTGTATTTGAGAATCGCACACAGATGCCCGATCCAATCAGCAGACATCGATTGGTCCTGCTGGTGTCATGCTGCTTGTGACTGTCGCGGCAACTCCGCATCTCAAAAATGGTTCTGCACGGGGGACTAAGGCCTCCGGGGCAGCACCTTTGCATTGTGTCATTTTTTTGGGGGAAAGGGGTGGCATTGCAGCCCTGGGTCGTCCTTGAGTACCAATGTCCTTGCAACGAAGGGCCCCGCGTGCAACTGCAAGAGAGTTCCCCCTGCCTTCTGCACGAAGCCTGTCACCTCTGACTTCTCAAATTCTCGTGAAGCATTCTTGGCTGCCACGGAGCTGGCAATGGCATTGAGGCCGAGCATGCGTACAAGCGAGGGGCCCGGTTGGCCGGCAACGGCAGCACAGTGCAACTTGGGTGTGGTCGAATTCAGGTTTTCGGGCTGGCAGCAGACGGCAATTGGGCCTTCCGCCAGGGGGTTTGAAACAGGTTAAGGCCCTGTTGAGGCTTCCTGGTCGATTAGCCCGTGGGTGAATCCCAAGCAGCGCAACTCCTTTCAGCCATCGTTCGAAAGCTGGTGTCTCGTTAGCATCTTCAACACCGACATTAACGTTGACCTCTCCTGGAACGAACGTTTTGCGGGTTGAGATTAGTCTGACGTATATAATCATTCAAATTAGTGCAGCATGTACTTGTACTTCTGTCCCACAGCCACTCTCGAATCTCAAATTTATAACGTGTTGGAGTTCCTCAGCAAACAGCTGACAGTAGCTGAGGACGTACCTCTTCGCCAGCGAGCTGCCTCAGGGCTATGCAGAAGCCATGAAGGAACTATTGCTCCCCACTGACATTCCTCGTGTCCACGTTGGCCGCTGCAGTGCTTTTGCTGCAAAGTCTGTGGACAAATGCGAACAAGTTGTTTCAGGAATGCGTGCACGCGCTGTGGCAGATCCCTTTGCTGGAGCCGGTGCCTGTGTTTTTCTTTCCGTGGCTATGGCAGCTATGGATCAGGGAGTCAGAGAGCCTAGATTAAGATAGCCCATCCTCGGAACCTGAAGCACGAGATCCGGTAATGCTGGATTGTACCCTGCAATAATGCTCGATCTTTCCGCCCTGCTTTTCCAGAAAGCTTGAGTGATTTGTGCAGACTGAGTCGCCAAGGTCACCTTTAGCCAAAAGGCGAGTGAGCAGATTTGACGAGGAGAGCGAACCGTTGTGCATAAACAGTATGCGGAGTAAGGAAGGACGCAGAAAGTTCAAGACGAAGCATGGGGCTTGCAGATTTGTGGCACTAGTCCGTCATACCCCTCTTCCCCCCACATCTGTGTATCCATGCGCATGCCACGCAGGTTCCGCGAAAGAACGTCGATATATGGTCACATTGAGTCATGCAGGTACATCGATGACACAAAGGCAAAGCGGACCAGCATCAGAACGCTCATCGCCTGATTCTGGATGTGTGCTGCAGGACAAGAACAAGCCGCGAGGCTCGTGCCGAATCTTCGCCATCTCCGACGTGCACACCTCAGCCAGTTGCGGCGCCCGAAAAAGTCTGGGCTGCTGCACCATGCTTACTCAAGCTGCATTGAAACTGGATTGCCGGGGAAGCCATCTGGAAGAACCGAGAGGGAAGTCTGAGCATCGAGTTCTACTTAGAGTCGAATTGCGCCAGACGAATGTATACCGCACCTACAGGACATGTAACCTAGAGCGCAAATGAACCCCCTCCTTGCAAGGTGCACATTGACCACGGTGGCTCCGTCTTGAAGTGGGCTGAAGGCATCAACGACAAGGCAAGCTGGGATTTTGCACTTCGCACGATCTGTGGCATCTATGCAGTTAAGATGTCAAGTTAACCTTCAGCGTGGGCAAATGACTTTAGAAGATGGTGGACCTCCTTTGGCCATAACACTCGGCTTCAGCATGTGCAGGAGTTTCACAGTTTGAGGGCTCGAAAGGAAAATCATCAAGGAGAGGTCTGCAAATGTCCCTTGGCTACAGGCCTCGGCCCCGATCGATATTTGGATCGCGACGGCCTGCTTGCTCCTCCCCTGGCACCTCGTTTTTGCCTTTTCCATTTCCAACCATTCTTGCACATCGAATGGTCAGTTGGCTTCTGATAGCGAGAATCCCTCTCCTTGTCGTCAGATTGAGTTGTGCCCTTGAGGAGTTCAAGAACGACATATTGATCGTTGCGGGCGACCTCGGTGACACGTTCAATGCCATCAAGTGCAGGTCTCAGTGAGTCGAGCACGGGTTAATCCATCACGTTCGGAGCGGAGAACTCAGCATTGACCCCGTAGGTCGGAGAAGCAGGGTGCTGATGCTTTAAAGGGCGGCGATTCCTCGGGTTGCTCTCGAGCTCATGCTTCCGAAACCTTGAGCCACGACACGAGCATGTCATCCCTCAGCCCCACTCTGTTTTGCTTAAGCTGCTTTAGTACTTCAATCAAGGAATTGTGCAACGCCGATCGGCTCAAGCCCTAGAGACTCGACGCCATGGCCGCCGTGGCAGATTCCGAAGTGGCCATGCAGAAATGGTCTCAGCTCACGAGCCGCCTACAACGGCACACTGTGAGGCCACAGTTTGAAGGCTTAGCTTGTCTCAACTTAGGTGTGCTTCCGCACGTCGTGTTTCTACGGAGTTAGAGCTCTAGACTGGGCTCCAGTCTAAACTTTCTGCAGTCGTGAAGCTGCTTGTTCGAGGCTCGAATCTCAGAGCTGTAGCAGAAGTTTGGGGAATCTCGCCGCCTGCTTGTTATATCAAAGGTGAAGGCCTGTGGTGGCCAGCGTAGAAGATAGCTTTTAGCGATCCATCGCCACCTGATCCTGCGAACTAGGCTGTCGTGCGAGACGTGCGAACGGCTTTTTTGCCCTCGGAACAAACGACCCCTGCTTGGTCATTAGATCCCACCCTGAAGGGGCGTTCGCACTGCTCTAGAAGCACACAGCGTCGCTCTGGACAAATTTGGCATAGACCATTGGGGCACGATGAATGGCAGTGAAGGGTCGGGAGCTTCAGACCTGGTTGTGGAAGTGGCCATCTCACCTTTTTCTGTGCATTGCGGAGCTGAGGATGTATGTTCCGTGGAGGGAGGATTCAAGCAAAGTGGTTGTGTTGGGTGGCGGAGTCTCAAGTTTCAGAGGGGCTTTAGCGGGAATGTCCTTGTGGCTCTGGCATGACCTTGCGGCTTTTCCAAGGGTCGTAGCTGGCAGGATGACTTCGAGGCAGCGAGCCGTGTAATTAGGTCTGGGCTCCGACATAAAGTACGTAAGGAAGACCTTCAGTTGCGTGCAGGTGTCAGCCGTAGTCACTGTAGTCATGCCTTTGAGAAGTGACTTGACAACCAGCGAAGTAGTGTAGACTCTGGATTTCATTCCCGAATCGTTCCCGTTCCCCATTCCCAAGCCGTGAATCGAAGCAGGTAAGCCGGACCAGCCCACAACCCACGCACAATCCGACATGTCCTGAGCTGAGTACTGAGGGGGCACCCACAGCAGCACTCCGCCACGGCGATGGGACCGCAAGTGCTTTTCAACACTCGAACATTTTATGTTAAAGCCAGTTGCCATACATATGTTGTCTGCAGCTGGGAGTTAGGCAGAGAGTTCCATGGATGGTTTGGCCAGTACCTGACCGGACGGAGGCAACAACAAAACCAAAGCTGGAGGACAGCGCACATCGACGCAGGCTGCATGCGGGCGCCGAATTTCACGTGCCACCCAGGCGGAACATGTTTCGTGCCAGTCTTGAAGTTCGGGTTTTGGGAGTTCAGGAGGCGGGATACTCGGATCAAGAATCGACATGAGCGTGTGGAAACTACAGGCATGGACTAACCTGGATCTCAGGGCTTCTCTTGTGAAGGCATCGCATTGCGTGAGCTGATTGCATTGTGACATGCAGGTGAAGCATAGTAGAACCTGCAGCCAGATTCCAGTGCCATGCTTTAACGCTTCTTGGCACAGCCAAACCTGAAGCCACCTCAAGTTTTGCATGTCCGGCGGGGACTCAAAGTGCAGCCCTGCCGGAATCAAAAGCCCTCTCGCTGGTTCCTCCTTGTCCGTGCAGAACGGGAGCCCCCACGTAAAACCTTGCTTCCACCTCCACAGAAGCACTACTGACATGAACAAGCTGTCCCTAAATGCTGAACCCTAAACCAGCCGAAATTGGGATGTTGATTCCTGTATCACGCCGACCTCGCACCATGAACCTCGCCTGGCTGGTCCGAGTTGTGCGAGCGTAAACCAGGAGGCGACAAGGACGTCAGCGGTCTTGGTGCAGGGGACTCGGAGCTGCAACTGCGGCTCAAAGGGACAGGTCTCTTCGGGTTTCGACTTGTGGATTTCAGGGCTCCGGGGCTGGGCTCCCCATCAACTTTTGCATTCCCTGGTCATGTGTGTCCGCTCAGTTCGCTCTCACTTCCTCGCAGGAGTTTTTAGGGATTTCGGGCTTGGGGTTTGGGGATTTTTCGCTGTCGATTTCGCTGCGCCGAACAAAGGTTGGCCAAGTTCCTCACAGAGGAGGAAGCAGATCAGGCCTTCAAGGCGCTCTGTCCCGGCGGCGAGATTGAGTATCAGCAGTGGTACCACATGCCAGACAAGAAAAAGACTCTGGGCTGCATCGCACTGCAGACTGTAGTCGCAAATGGCAGCTGAACCATACAAGGAGTCCTTACCGGTACGAAGTTCTTATTTGCCTGTGGTTCGCAGAGTCCAGTCACTGCGCTGCCCTTCTCCACGAGCCTAGGCCCTACCAGCCTTTGAAGCGACTGCAGCGGGTGAAGGTGGCCATGGCAGATCCGCAAGAAAGGGGCCTTCCATGGCATTTCGTGCCGCATCCAAGTGCCAGAACATGCCCGAACCCTGCAAGCCTCGCAGTCGAAGCCCAAGGTATCGCTTCCCTGTCAATGATCAGCAGCGCTACGGGATCCTTCCAATGTCACCGACGGTGCGCATGCTCTGCGATCGCGTGAACCAGAGGCTCTTCACTCATGGTGCTTTCTTCTTTGCTTGCTCTTGAGTGTGGATGTGTGTGTGTGTCGGGAAAGCAGCAGGTTGGTCTTCTGGGCCACTAAATGCCCACACTTGATATTGCAGCTTGCGGGGCAAGTATTGACCGGCCATGGCTCAGGGTTTCCGATGAGGTCTTTGGGTTGAGACTCCCTTGACGGCCAGCTTTCGCAGGCTGAATGGATCCTTCAACCATGTAGTTGTCCTTTACTACGCGGACGGCAACGAGTGCATCGGCTACCACAAGGACCCCAGTTTCATCCACTGGGCAACGGGGCATAGGGAGGATGCCTTGTCCAAGTCCAGCAAGTGTATCGCTCAGCATCCCCACGACCTGAAGGATAAGACGCTGGACCTGGATGAGAATTCCTCTATCGTCAGCATCTCCCTGGGACGACCCGGGCGGCCTTATGTTCTGCGGGATGGCATCTTCAATCCAACCACTGAGACGGAGGTGGGACTGAGCCTGTCCTGATGCGAAGTAAGGCAGTCGAATCGGACTCCTAGTCGAAAACATCTTGCGAGCCTGCAGGTCTTGCTGCCGCATGGTGGCCTGTTTAGGCTTGGGCCGGAGACCAACAAGACCTTCTACCATGCTGTGCGCCAGACGGAGACTCCCGAAAATGCGGGGGCACGGGTATCCATCACCTTCCGGCATGTGATTTCGTACGAGACAGCAGGCACATTGACGCCTGCCAGCAGTGCATTCTGCATGCTCCCTTTGAGCACCGGCAGCTTTATCCCATGACAAGTCGGCAGCTCAGGACAGGCAAAGGCGCAGAGTTCCCAACCTTGAACTGGCCGGTGCAGTTGAGCCTTGTCTGGCAAAGTGGTTCGGGGTTGTTAGTGGGACACAGAACGCCAACATTTGCCAGACCGCTGCTGCTTGAGTTCTTGATCGCGCTGGCTGCGAATCTTCGTGTTTCGGTTCGGGAACTGCATGAATTCAGCCTATTTCACCTCCCATGCGCCATTGCCGCTGTTTGCAGACTGATAGGAAGCTTCGCCTCTGTCTTCGGACCTTGGGAAGTTTTCCTCGTTTGCTACGTGCAGAGCTGTTTTGTTGGGCCTTCCGTCGTTGTCATCTTTTTTCCGTTGGAGCATTTTTTGCCGGCCTCTGCTGCATTTCTTCTGCAGTTTTCATCATGTGTTGAATAGGAGCATACTTGCAGGTGCTACACAACAACACGATGTCTTTGCAACGTACCGGTGGAGTGCAGCTCAGAACACATGATTGTTCCGGTCATTAACCCATGTGCTCACTCGATTTGTGTGCTTCCACAGTTTTTCAATTTCAATCAGGCCGAGGGACTAGGGCGGTAAGCCGACTGAAGCACTCCGCAGCAAGCCCTTCAGCTCTTCCCGAGGAATGGCCAACATCGCCTCGATGAAGACCTGGACCAGGTACGTGAGTTGAACTGTTTGCACTTGGCGTTGTCTCCAAACGTAAAGATGGGCATTGCTTCTACATTCTACATAGGCCTGCATGCAGCACAAGTGCGACCCGCCCCTGCCCGGCCCAGGGAGTCCAGCGAACCCCGGCGCAACATATTGCGAAAGAAGCAAAACAAAGCCAGGGCATCTGCAATCTTTTCGTCTTTCCAATTTGGCATCAAGCATCTGCACACCTGTCGCAAGTGCTTATCATACATATGGCACGCCGCATGTCAGCAAAACATGAAACAGGTTGGAATAGCACTCTGGCAAAGCCACGAATACTTCAGATGTTAGTATGCGTTTCGCTTCGTACTTGTAGCTGTTTGTGTAAGTTCTCCTGGTTTTGCCACCAGGATGCGCTTGCTGTCACGGCTACGCTGTCCAAATGAGCACTAGAGATGTGAATACATGTGCAGGTGCACATGCATTTGATGTATGAAGACTCTAGATAGATTCGATTATGTAGATAGTTCGTTCGTCAGTTAGTTCGTTAGATACTGTTAGATAGACAAATAAGTAGATAGATAGATAGACAGACCCTTCCTTCCGCAAGCGAGGCCTCAACCCTACTGTGGTCCTGATCTCTTTCCGTCTAGAGTCTAGGCCCTTGAGCGGCCGGAGTCTGCAGCCGCGCCGAAAGCTACAGTGTCAAAGAAGGCCAGACTCGAAAAATCCCAGTCTCAGTTTACGGGTTTCGGGGTGGGTAGTGTGCTGCAGTGTGGCACGCTGGCAGTGGCTTGGACCTTTTTCTTTCAGTGCCAACTCTTGAGGTAATAAAAAAAGGTCTAGAAGTGAAGCCATTAGAGCCAACTTGGTACGCCTTAATTTTGCCTCCCAACGCGAGGTTGCTGGTCCGCAGCTGTCTCCGGCAGATGTCGAGCTGCTCCGAACGTGTCAGGGCTGCGGCCGGTTTTGTTTACAAAAGCAGGGAGTCTGGGAGATCAACATTCCATTTTGCCAGTGTTTTTTGACTTGCGTCTTGACAATTTCCTTGGCCTGCAGCTGTTGCACCGCATGCGACTTGTCATCGCGATTCAAGCCTAGGTGCCTTGCCGAAGCGTCGCTGGAGGTCTGTCTTGCGACTGCTTCCACACGTACAGGTATATTCGTCGGTTTCCTGCAAGCAGCCAAGCGTTCGTCCCCCAGTCAACTCCCGGTCCAGCAGGATTTTTTCGTGGCGAATGACCTCAAGGGCGCTGGCCTGGCTGCCCGCGCCGTGATGCTGGAAAAGGCAGTCGGTTTCGTGGCCTGCAGGGCGGCATGGACGTGCGAGGGAGTTCCTGAAGGGGTTAGATCGCAGTTGCCAAGTTGCGGGTGATAGTATAGTCACAGTATAGGACATATTATGGCCATATCATGTCATGTCAGTGCTGTGGCTCGTTAGCTACCTTTGTTAGCGTCGGTTCTGAGCGTCCAAAGCGCTTGCAATGCTCTTGCCATCTGGAGTAGTTTTGCGGCTTTTGTGCTGGAGCTACGCAGGTTGTACTTTGGCACCAAAATGCTGCAGCAGTCGAAAACCCAAATACACACACCTATGGCTTTGCCTACATCTCATTGCGGAACCGCTTCTACCCGCAAGCCGAAGGGGCACCATCTGCAAGAGAAAGGGGTACACCAAGTATAGTAACTCGCAAAACAAAACAATGCTACCAACAATCAGGCTCCGCCCACCTCTGTAGAACACACTGCACCCCGCGCCAGTTTGCTAGCTTCTCAGCAGCCACGAGGTGGCGTACAATACGCAAAGCATGGGAGATGGGAGGAAGAGGAGGAGGAGGAGGAGGAGGAGGGGGAGACAAAGAAGCCGAGACCAAGAACCCAACCAAGACGACAGGCACCACGCCACAGGCGGGGCCCGGCGGATCAGGCCAACCAAGAAGACCACAGGGATAGGGCCGAACAAGAAAAGGGGGGGAGGGGATGCCATGGATGGGGTGGGGTGCTTGGGGGTCAGCAGCCCTGCACCATACATGCAAAAGATGGGGGGAGATACAGACAGTTTTCCATGGCAGGTGGGAGAAGCACGCGGTGCTGAGCTTTCCAAGGCCTGACGTAAGCCTCGCAGTTGTTCAGGTTACAGGATCCCTGGTTCATTCTGTTGGGCCTATTTCTGGGTCGCCTTTCTTCCTGAACTCCCCACATTGGCATTTCTCTTATGCTGTTAGTGGCTAGACAGACTCTTCCCTCGCCGGGTTTTGCACAAGCGCCTGGTCATCTCCGCCAGGCGCTGGGAAGCCGCATCGGCGAGGCATACCATGCCTGGAAGAAGGCTGTCTTTGATAATGCTGATAACGATGCTCCGCATCGGTCGGGACGTTGATGTAAGTTTCAGTAACAGGGCCACCTGCAACAGCCATTCCAAGTGCTTCATATGCTATCTGGGTTCAGTGTCGATGCTCTTCTGAGTTTCATCTCGGAAGTAGATGCTGAAGGCCATGGCTGTCAGAACCCGCAGACAATGACAAAGCCAACATAACGATGCCATGCAAAGAGATGGGGACCTGTTGCCGGAGAGCCCAAGCAGAGGCGACACGAGCCAAGCCAGAGCCCGCGGCAATCCCGGCAGCTCCGCTGGACGCTCGTGGCTTTGGGTGCTTCTGCAGATGTTACATCTTTGGTGTCACTGTCTCAACCGGATGGAGGTTATGAAACATGGCGTGGCATAGTTATGCCGGGCGGTGCAGTGACCACATCTTCAGGCATGATTCGACTCGGCAGATCTTGCGAATGTGGATGCTTTGCTCTTGTTGCCCGGTTGCCCATGCAGCCAGGGGCAGATGTATCAGCCACATAAGCCGTTGATGTCGCTGTGCGCCCCCCCCCCCCCTTGTGTCATTGATGCCAAGAGCGTGCTTCTCGGTCACACCCAGTTCCGCCCGCAGGAGACGCAAGCCACGACCCCAGCAACGGCCGACGCCCGGCCCGCGGAGCCTGCTTGGTCGTTGGGAGGGATGCTCTCACGCTTCCCGGATGCTTAGCTTGTCTTGGGCCTGGGGCATCAGGAAAACATGTACTTTCAAGCTGGAGGTTCCGCAGACAGGTAGGTTTGTGTGAAAACATGACACACCTGCTGGTAGGGGGAGTGTGGGAGGCCTTCGAATCGCAGGCAAGGGATCTTCTCGAGCTAGACGTGTGTCTCATTCCATGTTATGTTCATGTGGCATTTTGGCATTTTGAGGTTGGATCTGGGGTGAGCCGGATCCTACACCCGAGGACCCCGTCCACATCTCGCGTTGCACCCACGTCGCTGAAGGTCAGATCCTTGCTGGTGGCCGCAGAGATCCGGGCACAGTCCAGTTTCAAGAACATTTTGCAAGCCTTCAAGGAGTCTCAGTTCCTGTACTTGGCAGGAGTTGCTGACATACTGGTTCGGCGTCGAGCCCTACAAGTTCCGAGGAGGCCTCTGGTGGCGAGGACGGGCTTGCTTGATCCGAAGCAGACATGCTGCAACCACCGAGGTGTCGAGCACGACACATTCGCAAGGGAAGGAGTGAGATGTTCGTCTTTCTTGGCCGGAGCATCGGGGCAGTTCCCAGCCGTCAGTCCGCATCCGTAGGTGGTCTCGGTTGCATTGCTTGGATCGCTGAGATTACATGTGCATTTCGAGGGGCTATGGCAAACCGGGCGAGATGTACTGCGATTGATGGAAGCGATGTTGCCACCAGGAATTGATCCGGCTAGCCCTTTGGACGGCCAGGCGGGTGCTGACAAGCATTCTCGTGTTGAAGTGCTAGGGGCGTTCAGCCGTCATCAGATGTTTGACAGTTGACACTTATGACAACAGGCGACATATCCACGCCTCCCAGCTTAGCGTTTGTCCACCATCCGAATCTCCAAGCACGAGTCTTCAGTTTTCTTCCGTTATCGCAATTTGACATAGCTCAAAACAGCCCTGCCCGGAATGACGCAGAGTCAGCAGAGGAGGGCACGGACCAGCGCATCCTAAACAAGTACGGCACCTTGATCCGCAGCTGCCAGCATGGATTGGCCAAGTCCAAGGCCACCGGACCGAAGTTTGTGGCTCCGCTTTCGGGCCCAGAGTCTAAAGAGCTCTGCCACCTTTTGCCGAACCTAAGAGTGTAAGTGGCGGCGCAGTCTCCAGTCCCAACCATCGAGCTTCCAGCTTGCAGCTAAAAAGGTCCGTCGGAATCCCAAGCCCCCACGCCCTCAAGGCCTCATGCACATTTTAAATTCTAAGCGGGTGGAGTGCAAGCTGTGCTATTCAAGGGTCAAGCCTTTGGATCGTTTCTGTGTCACAGGTAGCAGCCTGGGCGAATACGTCAGAGGGAAAGGCCGCGCTGGTGGTTCTGTTCCTCGGCAATGCAAGATCAGAGCAGGAGTGCGACGGTCATCACGAAGCTTCTAACTTGCGATACTGCTGCCGGTGGCAAGTCCATAGATTCATGCCCGACAGGTTTATGAAGGTTTGGCAGTATGTGACGTGGCTTTCGAGAGGGGTGGTTGCTGTCGTTGCTTGCAAGACCCAGTGCAGATTTGCACTCACAGACTTAAATCACTTGAAGTTCTTCCGAGTGCCCGTGGTTGTGTGTAAAGGTATTTCGTCTTCGGACCGCTACAGCAACAGCTGCAGTGACTAAAGCTGCCCATCTAGATCGAGACGGAAACTGTATAATATAGTTTTGTTAGTGGACTGTTATATTGTTAGACATGAGGTCGGCTGTCAGTATATAAAATGGACGAACAAGCATAAAACTTAAAACCATATAAAAAACAGATATGTGCAAACACTCACCGAAACGCGGATCTCCATCTGGACTCTGTAACAGTCTGCACTCGTGATTTCACGGCAGTGCATGGCAGCAAGACCCAGGCGAATGTGCTATCCTTGCAACAGTTGAAGTGGATCCTCTGGCCAGGCTCGACCAGATGCCCCGGAATGCTTTCCGTGGCACCGCGGAGATGTTCGCCTACGATGCCTTGGCGCAGGCCACCATGGAGTTAGGACCCTGGATCCCATCGCAATGACGGTTCTGCGAAGGAGGCCATAGATCTTCCTTGCGCTTGGGGTCCGTGACGAGTGGTCCTGTTGAGATAACTTTAACGGACCCAAAGCATTCCAGAGGCACCAAATCTCTGTGCAAAGGGGAGCACAGCTGAGCAGAATTGCATGGCAGCTGTGAGCCTGATTGGCCTCGAAGAATCAGAAGAAGCTACGCCGGCGCGGCAGCTATGACATGCAAACGAGCTTAGCCAACTCCGCTCACGGAAGCGACGAGGGGTAATGCTGAGTGTTGCAGCTGAACTTCGTTCCATATCCGAGGGCCTTCTGTTGTCTAGGCGCCCACACCTCTGCCAGTCAGCATTGTCTGACGCATGCCAGGAAATGGCGACGAAGCTGCTGCAATGCGCCTCTCGGGCTGCGATCAGACGAGAAGTCTGGTCTTCAGGTTGGGCACGGATGTCTGTGGACCCTCGTGCTTGTAGCAATGGAGATACCCGGTGCATATCAAGACCACACAGCCACCTCATGGATGGATTAAAAAATTAGTGACCCCTAGTGGCCCCAAAACCTCCAACCCTTGACCAAGCTCAAGACTGAACCAGATCATCCGAGCCTCCCCGAATCCCAAAATGCCAGAGCTGTTCTAAGGAGCAAGTTCCCTGGCCGCACGCGACCTTCGCCCAAGTGGCGCTCATGCACTCCGAGGATGTGGCGACGGTGGAGGCCTTCCGGGTTCTTGCCTGACCACAGATGGAAAAGATGATGTTTGTAGCATATTTCTCTTGCTGATGTTGCTTGACAGAGCACTTTGCACAGTCATGAGTCGAATTCTTCCACGGTCCTTTTTCCTGGGCTCAGTGCAGAGTTGAGTACTTCTGAGAAACCCAAATGCTACACTCCCCTCTGGTCCCTGTCCCTGCATCTTTGAAGCAGGCATCGGCTTTGGGCCTGCTACGTTTGGCTAGCGAAGTGGAGCCGCATATTGCGAACCGGCTCAAGCACCTCGGGCTCTGGGAATTCATACACACAGAGGTCTGTATGTAACTATATGTTGCAAGCACGTGGGTATGCATGCATGTATGTATGTATGTATGTATGTATGTATGCATGTGTATATATATATACATATATATGTGTGTGTACATATATATATATATAATATATATATAATATATAATATATGTGTGTGTACATATATAATATAATATAATATAATATAATATAATATAATATAATATAATATATATATATATGGGCATACTCAGACTCACTCAGACATAGATATAGACCTTCAGATCTGAGGTCTATGCACAACGAGGCCAAGACGCACTCCTCGGTGCTGCGCAGCTTCGGCCGCCCCTTAGCTGCAACTTCGCACCGCTGGCCGCGCATCATTCGTGAATCCAACATCGTTCAGGATCCAGAAATCTCCCAACACGTATCTGTTGTGGCAGAGCCCATAGCAGCGTGTGTGGCATTGTTTACCGGACATTTCCAACAGATGACAAAGTGTGACGATGACATGATCCGTCGTTATTTCTGCAGCGGCATATTTACACAGAGTTACAACATGAAGTGGCTGCCGAATCTTGCATTGCCGCACCTGGCAAAGGTTACCCCCATCGCAACGAGCTTCTGGGCCGCGAAAGCTCTGCGGCAGAGCTCAGCTGGCTTCGGTCCAAGAATCTTTGCAGAAGGTGACGGGACTAGCAGCAGAGTAACCATCACATGGAGTTCCTTCTCATCAGACACTATATCTCCGAACAAGACTCGGTTGTCTGCAGCCTGTGCAGGCGATTCAAGGACAGTTGTTTGAGTCAAGTCGGGAAGTTTGTGGTGGATTTCCCACCTGCCAAGCATGAGAGTGTGAATCATCTGCGGCAGCCCTTCATCTCGTGAAACGCTCAGGAGCCTCCCGTCCTGGGCCCAGTCTGTCCGCCCAAAGTTCCAGAAGAAGCTGGAGGGTGAAAGCCAGGACAGAACGAAAGCCAGGTTTCCTGCATGTTTGAAGAAGAGTGTTCGTGTGTGTGGTATAGCTGTTATTGTCATCACTTGTCTTGGCTTTCGCTGTGAATTGCGTCTCATCTTCTCAGGCTCTGCCCCTGTACCATTACAGCAGCATCAGTGTGGAAGTAGCCGCAGCGACAGCAAATCTGATTGACATTGCACCTGCTGTGCTCATTACAACAGGCGTTCTCGTGATCAAAGATCTTGATAGTACTCATGATGCTTCTGTTGATGACGGTCATGGCGACGATGGAAATTCGAGACCTCTCTGTCGGTGCAGGAGGTGCAGAAGATCCCCGACCTCGTTGCACAGCCAAGCGGTCCCAAGCTACGCATACTCGTGCTCCACAGCAGCTCTGCAGCAGAAGCCAGGAGATGGCGGTCGCTTCGCGTTGCTGATGCCGTGTGATTGCAGCCGCTCGGAGATTCAACACATACAGCGAAGCATGGCGACGCGTCGAGCGTGATCGCCAAGACGTCTGGCAGTTTCAGAGTCCGTGGCCGTCTCGTCGTGGTCATCAAACGGATTCTGGTGACGTGATGTTGATGATCAGGATGTCTTGCTGTTGTTTCGGCCGCCACTGCTTTCGGTTGCTTAGTTGAGCTGGCAGCCGTTTCTGCGGTCGCCGCCATCCATGTCCGCTGCACTTTTGGCAGGTTTGGCCTCCTGCAGGGTGCTGTGTCCTGCAATTGCCCTGATTCCGTACTACAGCTTTGTTGCTTGCTTCTGCACGTCCTGTGCCAGATGGTCCCTCAAGTGCGGCGTTTGCACGGTGCACATGTGCGCACTATATGCAAAGCTGATAGTGCACGCTATTCAAGCACTCGAACTCTACACCGAGGCTCGAAAGAAAGCGATTGCTGAAGCCCAAAAGTTGTTGCGCTGTTGCGGCGTCATCCCCAGCGTCCCTGTCATGTAGCCGTTCGTGGAAGGGTAGCAATCATGTTCGCAAGATTCGGCACGCATTCCAAAATCCACGCTCCTGGTAGATTCACACAAGACAAGAACATGTTCGATGAATCTGTGACCCGTGCCGCAGCAGAGGCAACCGGCAGAATGCCGGCGACTTCAAGCGCAAAACCCGAGGTCCCCTAGAACCTTTGGAGGTGGAACTGGCGGATTTTGGGTTCTGGTCTTGGGCTTTTTTCGCAAGTTTCTCTGGGTTGATAGACGATCCGGTTTTCTTCCGCAGTCTTACCCCGTGAATCAGCTCATTGAGTCGTGAAGTTTGCTGGCCTTGGTTGAAACAGCTTGCAGGCTCCCCTTCTGCAGTTCTGCACTCGTCAGGGCTGTCAGACGTGCGTGATACTCGCAGTAGTAGAGTTCCTGCAGGCTGTTGCGGATCTCCACTACTTGGACGGGCCACATGTCTACACGCCGATGGGCGAGGTGGGGCAGCCTAAGAGAGCATGCAAGCATGATGCCCGACATAGTTGATTGAGGTTTTGATGGCTCGGTCCTCAGGCGGGAGGTGATCCACTGGGATCCAGGTGACCATCGAAGCTGGCTGATTCCCTGTACTGTACCTGCGGCAATCTGAACGGATGAGTTGATGTCAGATGTTGTAACCGCATCAGGCTCATGACTCCGTCGGGAAGTTGGGGGCCAACGCTCCAAAAAACCGGTGCTGGTGGAGTCTCGACTCAACCGGCAGGCTTGAGGGTGATACTTTCTGCTACTGTACCCAGCAATTCTATCCATTTTCAAAACAGACGACCCGAACCACGTACCAGCTTGAAGTGAGCGCTTGTTTGGACTCTTTACAGCATTCTTGGGTTGCAGTCGGAGATCGAAAATTTGCTGGCTTTTACTTAGAAGCTGAGTAACAAACCTTAGCCTAGCATTATTAGTTGGGTTCACCGCTTTGTCAGTGAACTCAGAACTCTTGATACATCCGATATCTTCCGAGTGATTTCAATCCAGCTGCCTGGTATTGTGCTGCTATTCCTGCATATGGTGTTGCATTAGCCGTTACAGTAGATACAGTTTGGGCATGGTCAAGCCAGAAACCTACTGGCGACCCAAGCATCAGGGAGGAGAACTCTTTTTCGATTCTCCGAACAGTGCCACAATGCGTCGGGACACGGGTCATGGGCTGAGGAATGCAACCGACGACCCGGCCACGATGCGTTATGTGGCTAAGACTGAATCAGGGCGCCAGGATGGCGTGTCCTTTGGATCCTTCGCCTTTCCCAGCGCTACAAGCTTGAAACTACTTATGCCCTCCAACTGCTCGCCCGCCGACGTCTTCTCTCTTAGACTCTTTGGCGGCGTCGTCTAAGTTTTGCTCATCAGCTTAGAAGACACGATTGCTGTGGGAGCTCGGCCCCCGGATGCAATGTAGGTCGGCCTGGAAAAAACGTTGGAGCACGTGGAGAACTGCTTTCACGAGCACGGCCCTTTCGATGGTGTCATGGGCTTCTCGCAGGTGGGCTCCTTCAGCGTAGAGACTGAGTAGATTCGATGCTTTGCAACCTGGAGTGAGAATCTTGGTCCATCCCAAAGCTGCACTAACGCAGTAAAAAGATAAGACGCATCAGCCTGGATTTATCAAGTCGAAACATTCATGCATGGAAGTGGTCTCAGTCTCCACACGGCTCTCTTGCATACTCTTACGGCGCACGCCCCTGCAAAATTGACCTCGGCACATGTTTGAATGCCTGCAGAGTGGCAGTTTCATGCTGTTTCTTAGGTCTTGGACACACCGAACGTTTGGAAGACTCACGTACGACCATACAGAAATTGTACATGATACTTGCGACGATTCTTGCTGCTAAATGTTATCACCATTACTATAGCGACTGTGAGGTTCAGCATACTTCTGGTGACTGAATATTAAGGTTATGACTAAGTTATAACTGAGATTCGAAACCGACAGGGTGGATGCCTTGCTGGTCTCCTCGCAGCTTTGCAGCCACGACCCTGGGCTTGAGCTTGGGGCCGGGGCATGCTTGGCTTGTTTGATAAGGTTTGCAGGGCATAGGTGTTCGGGTTCCTTACTTACTCTGACGATAGGTTAGATCAAATTCGGGGGTTGTCATGTTTCGTGGTTTTGGGTCCTCACCTATTTGGGACTACAGGACGGGTCTTTGTGCCTCTCCGGCAATCAGAATGATATTCAACTGTGACAGGGCGGGTTGCTTCAGAGTTGCTGTGAGTGGATTTTGCTTGGCGCACGGGTTTTGTCGCGAGGTTCGGTTCACAACAAGACTTAGTTCACCCTGAAGGTCTCATGAGGACCTTGTAGCTGTAGGAGCCTGCGGAGCCTGCATGTCCCGACCTTTGGTGTCTTCCCGAGGCGGTCACATCAAGACCCTCAGCTGCAGTGGCGGGCAGTCCAGCCCAAAGGTGTTGTCTCCTGAACCAGTGCACAAGCGTAGCTCTGTCGAAGCATGTAGCAGACAACAGCAGCAGTTTTCAGAGCAGTGCCCAGGTTCGACTTCTGCGCTGGGCGCTCAGTGCTTGAAGAAGCATTTTCGACTTCCGGGCTACCATCGCCCACCAGCAAACCAAAGAACCCCAAAGGAGGCCTGCCAATCCAGACATCGAGACGGGCGCGGTAGTGGTAAAGGAGGTACTGTACGGTGGAGAGGAAGCTGATGCACAAGTCGATACTTGCAAATATACTTATGTAATAATCCGTCTGTTTGGTATCGTTTCATACTCAAACACACTCACAAACATGCGTTCAACCAGGCAGGTCATGCATGCAGGGATGATTTGGGGAGCAGCTGTTAAGCGGATTGATCCAATCTGACGAGGGCTGTCTAAGAGATTGCATCTAGACCTAGAGCTCGGAAGAACGTGAAGATGATTCACCTGCTGCCACTTCATGCTGGCATGTTGCATTGGGTATACCTAAGTGCACTTACACAACTCCTTAGAAGATGCGCTTTGTATGCGCATACATATTACTAGGAGACATGTCAATGATTGTCAATTATACATTTATATCTGTTGGCCAATGATACACCAATGTTGGCAGTAGAACATGTATACATGCACGCCCGCATGCACGCACACACTCACGCACGTACACACACACACACACACCCACACAGAGACAGACAGAGTCACACACAGGCATACGCAGACAGACAGACAGATTCATGCAGGCACACGCATCGTGCGTCTCTTTCTGCCCACACATACGTGCCTTTGGAAATAGTTCAATACTTATTAAAAACTCTCTCTCTCCCTCCCTCTCTCTGTATACGCGTGTGTATATGTAGACCCCATAGATATATATGTATATATGCATACCTATTCAGATACATACCTGCATCCGTACTTGCATTCATACATACAAGTCCACATACAAACAAGCCTACATACATGTAAGTGCCATAGCTGACATACACATACCTCACGCACCCTATTGTTTGAAAACAGGTTTGTAGAGATCGTTGTTCGTACCTGCATACTTATCAACAGACCCCCGTGCAAAATAATGCTACTGCTGGTGATTCTGATGATGATGATGATGATGGTGATGCATGGCTATTGTCGTGGGGGGTGTGCATACATGAATACATGTGTATGTAATTTACGACGATATCTGAGCTATATATATATATACACATCAACTATATATGTACGTATGAGTACATGTGCATGTGTACTATACATGCTGCAACTAGTAATGTTCGTATTCATATATCTAATTACGCTTCGCTCATAGTCATATTTTTTTTGCATGCATGGTTGGGTACAAATGTAAGCTTATGTGACCCATTTTTGCCTTGGTCTTGCAATGCACATCTCCAGCAAATTCGTGCAGCGAAGCAGGTAGACTCTCAGGCGTGGATGTTGTTGTCCCTAGTTCTTCCCAGATGTAGGGGAGCACATGTTTTGTTGTGTCAGTGGTCCGTGTGTGCAGAGTTTAGGTTGACGCAATGCTGGTAGCAATGCTGAGGCAGCGAAATTGAGACAGAGTTCAGATCACGATTGAATCTAGGTACATTAGATTCCGATTCTATGCTTTGCTGATCTGAGGTTGTTCTTTCGGGCTTCTACTGCCGGGATGTGGAGTACTGCAAGCTGTTGCTCGACGGAGTCCCTCAGAATCATCGCTTCTCGGGCACAATGCTTAGATGATTGTCGGAGCTCGGAGCTATCCTATCAACATCGGAAGCCTGAGACGGCAGTGTTCCGAAAGGTGATGTGCCTTGAAGAGGGAGTATGGCCCAGCCTTTGCGATCGCCGGCTTGGCTCCGAGGCAAAGAAGACGTCCACGCGAAAGGCTCGGCCATTGCCATGCCTTCCTTCCATTCCTGGGGACTCGAGGACCTTGGGGTGCAAAGCGTTCTGACCTACTCTCTGGAGGAGCACCATGCTTCAAGAAAGAACTGCGCCTTCAAAGCTGATGGCAGATGCCCGCACATCTTAGCCTGGGCTGGTGGGACGTCTGTATTGCCAGGGGTTAGCTGAGTCGTCGTGAGATCTGTTGGAGTTGGAGTTGTTGCCACCAGCTTGGCTGGTCTGCTCCGTGGTTCCGCATGCCTTCGAGATCGAGCTTCTGCACTCAGACGGGCCACAGTGTTTCCCGACACTTACGCCATCCATGCACCTGCAACATCCCGGCACCCCAAGACACCCCAAGGTTCACACCAAGCCATTGGCGCCTCAGCCCGCCAGGATCAACTGGTGGAGCCGTGGCGATCCGAAAAGCTGGCTGATTGCTTCAAGGACCCACAGCGGACTCTGTAGCCACGGCTCATGGGGCTGCGGTGTGTAGACTCGAAAAATCTCTCCCAATGAGTAGTGCCGTGGAAGATGCCGGTAAGGATTTAGTGATCGAGAGGAGAGGACCACCGGAAATTGAGTGCATGCACAGGATGTCCCTGTCAGAGTCTCAACGAACAAGTCAGTGACAGAGGATCCTCTCCTGGTGCCACACAAGGCTTCTGGGAATTGCGGATGCAGAGCCTCCTGCTACTGCCTGTATCACACTGCAGCCTTCGGTCGAGCAAGAAACTCGCAATCTACGGTTGAAAAGTGTACTGCCAGTTCAGCAAGAGTATGCAAGAGTTGGAGCTTCTAGATTCTAGACAGGCTGCGGCCAGGCACAGGGAAAGAAAGCAAGACACAGGTATTACACTGGGCGGCTCATTCTATGGATATGGTGACCATGACATGTTGTCGGATCACAAATGCGCGCACACCCACACACGCTCCACCACCACACCTACACATACGCAAAGAATGACTTGAGAATATGCATGTGTATGTCTTGACAACATGTGTAGATGTGAGTTTTCTCCGGAAGTTTCTACATGATGTACATCTACTTGCCTGCATGACCTCGTTGCACTGGACCCTCAGACGCGTGATTCGCATCATTCTCCGCCCCAGGCCGATCATTTCGCTCAGGGACGTCTTCATTGGCCCATCGACCTTGTCGTCAAGTGGCTCAAGGCTGGAGGTGTCAAAGTGCATTGGTCAAAGGCTTGCAGCAATCATAGAGTCAGAAGTGATCAACACATGTGCGAATCAAACTCTCAGATGCACGGAGCAAATTGGAGGAGACCGGGCTCACCAAGCTTGCCGAAGCGCGACCACAGGAGGTACCGAAACAGGAGCGCGAAGCAGCTGGCTGCATGATGAATTTTATCTTTACCACTCTCGGGTTCAGGGGAGGTTCTCGAAGTTAGTATTGTGACATTGTCGCGTTGGAGGTTCTCCATACGCCGTTTGTCTTAGCTTTCTGCTGACACTCGTTGCCAAGCGGTCGCCCGCCATTGTCTGCTGCACCCGTTTGGCATTATTGGATAATCGGATTGAAGCACGGAGACAGCTCAAGCCCAGGCCTCTCAAAACCCTAGCCTGACTCTCGCAGCTTTGAATGACAAGGCAGCCTGGGCACGGCTGATGAAAGGCGTGACAGCGGAATGTTTGGTGCTTTCACATCGTTGAAGTTTTCGAGGTTGTGGATTGCAGACATGTGATCAGAAAACCCATGCTCTGAAGCATGTCAGCCAAACGTGAGCTCACATCATGAACAGCTTGCCGCTCTTGGTCTTGCAAGGAGAACAAGTTGGAGCGGCTTTTGTTATTTGCACCCTCGCCGAATTCTGTGAACCTCTTCGCAGGGAGTGGTGTGGCTGGCATCACCCAGGAGCGGCCGACCTGGGGCAACACAAGCTGCATGCAGTCTGCAACGCAGTGCTGCAGAACGGGCTCCACCTTTTCACTTTCAAGAGCTGCTTTGCGCGGCCGATGCTGCAGAATGTTCAGTGTTCGATGAAGTACTGCTATTGGGTTCGATGCAGGAGGATGTCAGGGAGGTCATGGCAGAGGCCGCCGGCAAACACCTCCTCTTTGCTCAACCCCAACGAACAGGAGCTCGTTGTCATGTTCTAGAACGCTGTATGCCTGCATGCACGTCGGCTATGGCAGCGGTCCTCCCCGTCGCTGATTGCAGAGGTTTGCATTCTAAGGCAGCCTGCTAGTTAGTTCTGTGACGTCTCATCGGCAAGTCACTGCTTATGTTCCGGTTTAGAAGGCGATCGATTCCAAGTCCCTGCAGCAGCTGTTGGATCGGGCGCTAGCACTTCTGCCGCCGCATGGCCAGCAGCTAGTAGAGATGTCTCTATAGATAACTCCTCGTCGGTAATGGCGCTTCCAGACTCTCAGCACCGTTTCGTGGATCTTGTACGGAATGGCTCTCGACTACGGCTTGACTGTGGCGCGGGCCTATGGGTTTTGCTATCTCATAGCATCTCTGGACCAGATAGGCTGGACACGTAGCAAGTGTCTCCTCGATTCTTCGCCACGTGTGCGGAGATTTTGATGTTTGAGCAGCAACAGTCGGTTCGTTCGGGCAAGCATGCCAAGGCCCATGCAGAAGGCAAAGTGCTTGACAAGGTTTTTCACTACTTTCGCGTAAGCTCGTTCTGTTTTGGTGCCGTTCATTTGAGTGGGATTGTCTGT